ACCTGGTTTGGAAAGTAAGATTTCTTAGATTGCTTTGAAGCTTCTGCAGTATAACTTCAGCTTCGAGAGGGTAACATGAATGAGTTCTGAGGTTTCCCTTGAGGGAAGATGGGAGTTGGTAGTCTGAAATCTCTAATATACCATTTGTTACTTGCTCAGCTATTGCAGCATTTTCATATACCAGGTTGTTACCACAGGTCACTTTCAATTCATATTGCTGTAAAGCATCATAATAAACTGAGTCAACAATCTTCCTGACCATTTCTTTAAGGATGGGTGGAAAATACAGCCTTTCTTCAGTATTCCTCAGAACAGTGACTTGAGCATTATTAAACTCATTTACTATGTGGTTGACAAACAATGTATTCATCTCACTGAGCTGGGCCTTGGTGATGTTTGCCTTTTTTTTCCACAGGGACGTAGAGAAATGAAAAAACAACTCTGATATTATTTCCTCCAAAAATGTGGCTGGATAAACACCTGTGTTCACATCTCTTTGATATATGTTACGAATGACTACTGTATCCAATTCCTTTGTTTTCTGTCTGTTAAGAGGTGACCAAGAAGAGGATTTTACTGTACACTGCTCACCAAATGATGACTGTATTTGGGAGCTAGCCACATGGGGATTATTCCGGGATTCTGTCAAAGAAGTGCTGCCATAACTTGCCAATTCTGAAGAGCTCTTACCCTGTCCTAACTCCATGAGTTTTGGCCCTTTTGCCTTTGGAACATTAGATTGTATTTCTCTTGTTCTATGGTTCTCATATTTGTTTTCAAACAATGGATTTTCAGGAGCTTCTTGTGAACTCTAAGATAATTTATCCATCAATGATTTCACCAAGCTGTGAGAAATAATAGTAAGCATACAATCTGATGACAGTAAATCTTGGTCCATTTCTATCACGTTTTCCAAAAGATTTGACATGCAATCTCCTTGAAGATTTTTGCAGTCCACTGATCTCTCACAATTACCAAGCTCTCCATCTTCTACCCTTTGAAGAGTTTTTAAAAGATGATGTACTTCTGCTGATATTTCTTTAGAAAGACCATCATCAAGAAGGACAGTGCCTGTGCATTTTTCCAGAAGGGTCCTAATGAGTTTCTCACATACAACATTGAGAAGAAAGACTGATTTGGGGGAGAGCCCTTGGTTATTTCTAAAGAGTCTATTACTTTGTTGATTGTTTGAAGAAGAGGAACATCGTCTTGCTATTTTACCAGAGTCCA